TATAGAATTTTTTTTACATATAATTTAATTTAAATTTAATAATAAAACAACTTATTTTTGGTTTAATATTATAAATTTTATAAAGATAATAATTAAGTATTATGTTAGATTATAAATGATTATACTAATTATATTTTAGGTTTTTTATATTTAAAATGAGATGTTTATCCTGTATTTGATTGTGTTTATATGTAGTTAGTTACACGAATTTAGATATAGGATGAAACCGGATAGAGATGAAATCGTTTAGGGATGAACGGGTTTAAGAGTTTTTAAGAGTTTTAGCCAAATGCTTTATAAGATAGTATAGATAAGAGCGCTTTGTACCATGTATATATTAAAAATATACGGGATGGGTACTCTCGTAATGCAGTGAGATACATCTTCATTTTAATGTTTTATTTTATTTTTTATCTTTGTTGATATAATACAGTTTATGTGGTTTTGAGAAAGATAATGTTAAAGTGTACTAAAAATAAATTTGAATATATCATAAAAAATTTAAAAAATATATCGATATTAATATTAAATTAATTATCTAAAAGTTCTCGTTTTTTTGTATAATTTTTTAATTCAATTTTTTATTATAATTTAATTTATGTTTAACAGTGAAGTAATTTATTTTTGGCTTAATAAGATAATTTTTATAAAGATAATGATTCTGTTAGAACTTAATGATTATCCTAATTATATTTTAGATTTCTTTATATTTAAAATGACATGTTTATCCTGTATTTAATTATGTTTATCTGTAGTTAGTTATAGGAATTCAGAAATATAACTTTAATAAGTTGTATTTGCGCACATTTACTTGTAATCTTAAATTTTAAGTAATATACATCAACAAACAATACTTCATGCATAAAAAATTATTTTTAAGAGTTTTTTTTTTTATCAAATGTTCTATAATATAGTATAAATTTTCAAGTCTTATTTATATTTAGTTAATAAGTTTTTTTTTTTAAATTTCTTTAAAATAAAGAATGGAAATTACATTTAAATTAAGCTATTCCAGATATGCTCATAATAATTCAAGGGTTGTTTGGTAGTTGTTGAATGGTTTGGTGCAGAATGATTAAGTGGTCAGAATAATTGAGAGACTTTTATGATATAGTGCAAAATGAAATATAATTGTTTGCTAACTGTTTAAAATGAAATTAGGGCGCTGAATGGTTAAGTGAGACCCATGACACAAAATTATTCAGAGGGTTTTAAAACTATTAAGAGTCAGATTTTTTTTTGTCAAACAAGATTCACCTCTTAAAGATTCAGAGACTGCCTCTTAATGAAACTATTAAGAGGTAAACAAACAACCTCTTAGTTTTTTTTTTTTTTTTGTATTTTTCAAAGAATGGAAAACTACACAAGTATTTGAGCTTTGTGATTTATAAACAGCTTACAAAATTTTGTTAAAAATAAAATATTTAGGCATATAAACAATTCAAAGCAAAAAAAAAAAAATTCACAAATTGTACAAAAAACATGTTTTTAACTAAGGGGTTGTTTACTAACTACTGACTAGACTGACTATGTCAGCAAATATGTTTAAGTTACTAGTCAGAGCGTTTACTAAATCACGATCTGACAGAAAACTGACCGAGGCACTGAACGAAATCTTACCGACCCAGTACCAAATTGATGCTTAACCGAGCCAGTTTCTATGTTTCCCTTGTTGCCATTCCCTTGCAATTAGGTTTTTCACCCCAAAAACCATCGTTGCTCCTCCTCCAGCTAAATACCATCACTCCTCCTCCTACATCCCTTCAATTGATATCCAACACTAAAGATTCTATGAACAAATTGCATCCTACAAAACTGCGTCCTAATGTTTATGTAGGTAAGGTGTTTGATTGAACTCATAGATTGTAACTTATATATATATATATATATGCATATATATGGCTCCGTGGAGATTTGTGCGTGTTGGGATTCTTTATGTAGGTAAAGTTTGTCATTTTTGGGTTGTATTGATAAAAGAACAACAATGCCAAACATAATTCCAAAACCATAATTATAAATGGGATTATAATGGTCATTTTATTGTTGGTAAGCACTTACCAAAAACATTTGGTAAACACTCTTACTTGGACAACAATTACCCATGACAACACTTATTCGGGCCAACACTCTTACCTAGACAACACTTACCTGGTAAGAATTGGTAAACAACCCATTATAGTCGTTAAAATGATTTTATTAAAATATATTACTTTACTTTGTCGAAAGTATGTATAACTTTAGAAAAATAGAACTATGCAAATATTTTTGCATAATTATTCACAATGAACACGGAGGTCGATCTTTCTTAATAATACTTGTTTGCATATCCACAAATGTGATAAATCTTGGGTTGTTTGATTCTATGAATGCCTAAGGTATTAGGGAATGCATTAGTTGTCCCCTATTAGGTTGGGCAGTAAGGGTCAGAGAAAAACAATCACTCATTCTTAAAACCAACGTTCTTAAGGCCAAAAGAGTCGGCGGAAAAGGGGGGGAAAAACTTTCCATTCCTGGTTCTCCTGTAGCTGGATCCTCCAGAACCGTAAGAATCCTTAGTTAGAATTAGAATAGGATTCCAACATGCTAACTGCATTCTTATCGACTATTTTATTTTATTCATACATCAACATTAAGACATACTTTTTACATCCTCAATACATGAGTTGACTTGATTATGACATAAAATGAATGTATATTGGGAAATTGATGGAAATAGTCATTCTCATCATGCAAATTCACTTTTAGGCTACTTATCAAAGTCATTTTCTCAAATGGCCGGACCTTAAGAAAACTTTTTTCTACATAAGAACTTTATTTTTTATTTAAAAAGAATCAAAGTTTACACGGAAAGTAGCTTTTTACATGCGTAAACTTTTAAAACCTTTATTTTTTTTTAATCTGAAAAAAAAAAGGAGAAAACAAAAACAAAGTTAATGCAGAAAGTTTTTAACATAAACTTAATGCGTAGACTTCTAAGTTGGCATTCCTACGTGTTGTTTGATTATAACATATTACGAGTGTTTATGGTTTGATTTGGCTGAAGTTGAATTAAACTACAAAATCCTAATCAAATCCATCAGATATTATTTTCTTTGATGATCTATTGTTTTAACTAGAAGAAAAAAATATTTTGGAAAATTATTTTGCTAATGCTAAAAATACTTTTATCCAAAAATGTCAATCAAACTTTATTAAATACACAATCAGAAAATCAATGAACAAAAAAAAGGTAGAATATTACTATTACTATTACTAATTATTAATTGATAATAAATATCAAAGTTAAAGAAAATAAGTAAAAGCTAACGAACGACATGATGGATGAAGTGATTTTACATAAAAGAAGAAGATACGTAACCGAAAAAGGTCACCGATTATCAATGGCAGATTTAAAAGGTTATTTTTATAGTTGTATCGTAACATATAATAGAATCAAGTTTGGGTTCCGGTGAGAATGAAATTTATGGTAAAAAGGGTTAGAAGAGATCTTCACCATTTGATCAATTTTAATTGAAAATCAACTCTAATGCGGTGTATCGAGATGCAGCGGATCAGTTCCTGTGATAAGCGAAATTCATAGGGTAAGGTGAGATTAAAAGTGATCAAGGGTCTAAATTTCTTATTATGCTTCTTATCTCGATTCCTATTTTCACATGATCTTTCGTCATGAAACAAAAATGGGAGTATTCTCAAGGATTATAATTTTTTTTACATGGCATTGGAAAAGTTTGTGTCTGTTTCTTTAATCAAATTTGTGTAAAAGTTTAAAGGACTGACACATAACTGTAAGGGGATGGTTATGTAGATGTAAGAAGAGAGTACACGTATAAATTAAATGGTAGTAAAAGAAAAAAAATATAAAAAGGTCAACATCTTATTGGAAAAACACGAAAGGAATAATAAGGAAGGATAACAGTAGATTTTTTCCATTAAAGACGAGGTTGAAATAATGATACTTAGAGTATGTTTGGCAGTTGCTGAATGATTTAGTGCAAAATAATTAATTGATGAGAATGATTAAAAGACTATTATGATATAGTATAAAATGAAATATGATTGTTTGGTAATTGTTTAGAATAAAATTAAGGCACTGAATGGTTAAGGAAGACACATTATACAAAATCATTCAAAGAGTTTTAGAACTATTATTAGATAAAATTTTGTTTTGTCAAACAAAATTCATTTGTTAATAAAAGTATTAAGAGGTATAATTAATAATACACGTTACATCTTCTTATTGGGACGAGGGGATCCGGAAGCAAAAAGGGTTTGCAAAACAAGAAGCAAGAAAGAAAGGCAGACAAAAAAGAGAAAGAAAAGGGTAAGTTAAATGCACCGAATAAACTGGTTATGATGCATAATTTTTATATTATAATTAAGTTAATGTATTAAAAATATAGAAAATTAGTTTTAATATTGAAGTGTGAAAAGAAAATGAATAGTTATAATTGCATTTACCTATGAAGTGGGCCCTTAAATACACCTTTATTTATTAATTTTCCACCCACACATGTCAACATCAAGACATGCTTTTTTCATAAGGGCGTTTACGATCCAGTTTGGATGGTTTAACCTCTCAAACAACAAACCAAACAATATTAATTGTTTAGAAATTTTTTCAAACCAAACGATTTTGACAACAATAGACCAAACCGATTTGGGTGGTTTGGACTCTTAAACTTTAAAAAAACATAACATCTATATTGAAAATGAAAATTTTACAAAAAAAAAAAAACATATCATTAAAAAAATAAAATATCAAACTATAAAACATACTTTTATTTCTATAACTAACAAAAACATTGAGCAAGTAAAAAATATCTACTAACAATAGTTTTTTTTTTATTATGCCATAAAATTGAGTCTGTAACATGAAAACTAAATATAAATCAATAAAATTAAATATAATCAATAAAGTTGGAAATAGACTATGCTTTTAGTAACTAACTGCCACCCCATCTCATATATGATGCAGCAACTTAAATAGGTAACTTAACTCGAGTACCAACCATTCGCCGCAAAGGCTTGTCAAATTACGGTGCTGAGTTGCACACCAGCTGTTCTGAACAACCACCGTTATAAAAGAATCAGCCAGTTCTTAATACATTTTCTTATCTATATTAACAAAAACCCATGAGTCATGAATGACCCAGAATCGTATCGAAACCGGTCATGAAACTCATCCCAACCTACATCACAAAGTCCATGAGATGGAACCTGTCCTAGAAATTGACCCAATACTGAAGTCATTCTCATTTTTGTACCAATTTGGCATGCATGCTGGGTTTTGACAAATCGGCGAATGGCGATCATGACAGCTCTTGGACTTGCTAGATCAATCATTTCTTAGAACCTATTATCCGAAGTTGATGTAGAAAAGAACCAAGTTAATTAGATAGCAAGTTCTTACCAAAACTAGAAAGTGCTTCAACCTTTCTACTGAACAAGAATAAATGAGGGGTGGTTAGTCCTGATTTAGGGATTGATCATAAAAGGACACAAAATGCTCTAAAAGCAAGCAAATATAGAAGAGATTTCTTACCTTCACTAGGGCTATGTTATTAGTCTGTCCATTTTCTTGGTCTATGTATTCACTATTTTCAGGCTTCATTCACCGAGGTAGCTGCTGGATCCAGTTCCAGGCAACCCTTTGGAGAGTTGTGGGCTTCTTCACCTGTCAGCAAGTACTTCGGAACTTGATGCGAGAATCGAAACATTTCTTCTTTTAATATCTTCTTCACTTCACTCTGCTCAGTCCGTGGATGAAATACCGTCCTAAATCCAGCAAACTTCACAAGTGGACTAACCGCCACACCTTGTTCTTCATTATAGTCGTCGACTACTTCCACCATTTCATACTGATGGATCACATTATCTGGAATATGTTCATTCCAATCACGTGACCAATTTCGGTACAGGGCCCACACCTCCCCCTTTCTCGGGTATATGAGAACACTCCCTCGTGGGGTTTTGGTCCACTCAACCTTCTGAGAGAATGAATTTAGAGACTTGTAGAATTCGTGCCTCCCAACTCTAAATTCCCCACATGTCTTCCGGAAACCACAACCTATCCAGTCTATTTGGCCGAATTCAGTGGTTGTCTTTGAGTTTAGCCAACTGATTTTCATCTTAAGCGGATTCCTTGATAACACCTTATGAACCAAGGCATAGAAGCGTGGCATCCCATCTTCATCATCATAGGCAGCCCACACCTGGTTATCTTGGAAAGAATTTTCTGTACGGTCCAAGTCAAAATTGTGAAAATCAGGATCAGGAACCATCATTGCAGGTTCTTGATGCTCCTGCGTATCCATGGTTTGGCATAAACCCTTCTTTATGGAGGACGTGCAATTACCGTTACCATTACTTCCTGTAAAAGTTTTTGTATGATCTGCCTTGTTTTCTTCCACCTCCTCCTCCGAAAGCCATTCACTTATTTTCCTGCAAATCTCTTTTTGAGCTTTCTGCATTAGCATGTTTCGAATTTCAAGTGGAGACAATTCTCTGGTGCTGTTTATCTTGTTACTCATACTATAAAATCCATATGCCCCATCTGTCTCAAAAACAGTGGTTCTTAACCTAGATATATTTCCTGTGTCGTTTCCCATGGACATTTGATATGGAGTACTATAAGAAGACTGCTCACTGTTATCCACTTTTCTATCTTTTGAGGGCCATCCAGCAGACAATTCTTCACGTTCTCTTCTCAATTTCTCGTTGACCCGCTGAACAATGTTTGCTGCTTTTGATGCAATGGAAGTAGGATCTGTGTTATCTCTTCTCAATCTCTCGTTGACCCGCTGAACAACATTTGCTGCTTTTAATGCAATGGAAGGATCTGTGTTACAGGGAAGATTTGTTCCTGAGAATGGACCCAAGAAGCTATTCGTGTTATTGGATGGACGATGACTAGATGGAGCTCCTTCAGAGTTGTGAGCGGCTGCAGGGCTTCTCCTTGGATTATATTGGTTGGTAGCAGGCTTACTACTAATGCTCAAATCATGATGCTGTTGGTGAGCTGACCAGGAAAAATTAACCGGCGGTGCAGTCTCCTTAGCTAGAAAAGGCTCGTGACAATTGGGACAAAGGAGGGTGTGATTAAGGTATACCTTGAGATATTCATAATGCATCTTGCATCTATGGCAAATAGTCCAAAAAGTATCGTCCCGATGAATAACTGGTGGCGGATCTGGATCTGGAGCTGGAGGGGGGACCGGAGGGAAAACCGATGCAGGACCCATTCGAGCAGTAGTGATGGTTCTGCGGGACTTCGGCTTTGATGTTGCCAAATTGTGAAAGCTATTTACACCAGAGGCTGCTGATGGATCCCCACTTTGAGATGACACTTTCTGCTGAGAACCGCTCAAACTCCTCCTATGGTTATAGGCTAATCTTTTAGCCTTGTCAGACAACAAACTCCATGCTTCAGAAAGAAGTTTAAATGCACCATCTGCACCAACAGATTTGTTTTTATCAGGGTGCAGTATGAGAGCCAACTTCCTGTACTGTTTTCTGATTGTGTCGTCATCATCAGAGGGGTTTACACCGAGAATCCCATACCAATCCACTTCCCCACTTACCTTCTTTTCTGCAGATATATACACATCAAGAGTGGTGAACATTTGCGCGATGCCATCCAGCTCAGGATATAGGGTTTGGGCCTTTAATGCAAATTTCTTTGCACTGGTAAAATCTTTATCAGCCAACCTCTTCTCGGCAATTGTTTTCGCCCTAATAGCCTCATCCCTGTTGCATTCCATGAATCCTATTGCTGACCCTCAATCTTCACATATCTTTTCTCCTCAGGAAAGGCAGAATGGTGCAAAAGGGCTAGCACAAGTGCTAAAGGCCAGGAGTTGAGATTTTTCTTTCGTTATACCATTGGTTGTCACAGTCAATCAACATGCCTGCAGCAAGCTAAATCAGAGAAAGTTCCTAAGAGTATATGAACGTGAGTGATAAAAAATGAAATGAACTAGTCTCCTGCATGCTTTAATTCAATTAGGCAGCACACATGAGATTTAACTCTGATAAACTAAGGACATGCATCCAACTTTTTAATAAATAGAATTTTTCCTACGGACTTTTACAAGTTCATGTGACACTGAAGTGTCCACTATCCAATTCTTCAATAACAGTACTTACTCTCTATGCTCCAAGTAAAACAAAAGAAGCAAACTTCAGCTGTGAAGAATTATGTACATACCAATCAGTCTACTGAGCAAAAAGGTTATTTACAGTGGTGCAATATAATAATGAAGGTGGACTAATAATGGTTAATGTGGAGTCCTCATGTCATCATAGAATACAAATTAAAGATGTGTATTTTTATCAGTTCATCTAGAACATATTATAATGAAAAATGTTACCTCCTTTATTAGGTATGGACCACATGCTAGTAGTAATTGAAAAATCAAGATGCAAATTCTACCACAAGCAAGTGTGGTATTACAAGTCTTGGAAACATCTACACTCTAAGATACTTTGCTTTCACTAAACCAAAATATTACAACCACAGAGGAAGGGTGGCACCATTACTAAACAATATTACCCCAGGCAACTACCTAAAATCTGTTATCTTTACATTCATACAGAACTTCACAACAAGATGCCTGGGATGAGATAATTAGGATACAGAAGAAATTGATGCTATAATAAGAAATTGATCCCATTGTACATAGATTAGGCAGATCGCATCTCCGATTAGGAGAAAAACAATGTCAAACATGCTATCTGACTCACAATCGCTGATTGCAAACAATCTTCCATCTAGCTTTACTAAGCAGTATAATTATGATTTCGATACTCATACCCAATGTTTCAAAGTCGAATTATTTTGAAGTCATGTCTTGAGGAAAAAAAATCAGCACTCATCAATCTACGAAACCTAAGTCCCAAACCCACTTGCATTGTTAGGCATTTACAGACATAAAACTAATGGATCAACATTTTTAACTGAAGATACAGACTCTTTTCACGATTCAGCCAAATTCTCAAGTGAAGTAACTAGCACCTGTTTCATGAGTACATATCAATAAAACTGACACAGTAGATTGTCACGAAGCTAAATTAGAACTAGTAAAGTGACGAAGTTTAAGCTCGAGCATCTAAATTAGAGCCGAGTCTAATATATTGGACACGGATCTACACCGACTTAAACCTAATCATGATATAACTAGTAAAATTACGAAATTCAGCTTCGAAGTAATTGAAACTGAAACCGTAGATTCACAAGCAACCTGTTATGTTCTTGAAATGTACGCCAAAAATCTGAAAGATAGAGAGCGTGAATTACCAGTAGAAATGAGTTTGATACACGAACGGATATGAATCATCATGTGATTCGAATATTCGTCGACAATGCCACCAAAGTGAAAAGGAGAGTACAAAACAGAGCCCTGCACTCAAGAACAACCAGAATCTGCTACAATAAATATCGATAATATTTCGTTAATGGAAAAAGTAGGTATGAATGGCTTCTCACCCCCTCTCCCACCTTCTGGGTGAACCCTAGCAATTAACTTAACCAGGGTTAGTTCTTTACTCACGGTCGACTAGGGTTCTTGTCCCAAGAAAATATGCCTCATGGCTCATCACTCATGCTCCGCTTATCCTTGCACAAGATAAAACCTTTTCTTCAATTTTAGACGAAGAACTATTATAAAAATATTTACGATGTATTTGTTTTGTTTGCAAAAACTAAGAAATTAATCTTCTTAATTTTATGAAAATTAATTTACAATAAAATAAATATACTCATAAACAACGATGGATCCAAGAATTTTATAGACTGAACTCCTGTGAAAAATTCTATTGAGATAAGTTTTGTAAAAAATAAATTTTAACCTAGGTAAATTTTTTTAACTTTTTGATTGGGGTCCTCCCCCTCCTTATACGTTGGCTCCGCCCTGCTCATAAGAGCAATTGACGAAATAGAAAGTGTAGGAGAAAATGTAAAGTGGGTTAAAAGATTTTCAAATTTTTCATAGATTATTTACACTTTTTTTCTTTTCCAAAAAAATTTCATTACAAATAATAATTCATAAAAATGTACAATGCAATACAAGATACAATGATGCACAAAATATGTTTAAGTGATCAAAATCAAACTTAGTGATGAGTGTTAATTGCTAAAATCCAACTAGATGACCTCCTCTTAAAATATTATATATTATTGTTAAAAAAATGATCACATTCAAAGTATTTTAAATATTGTTCTTTCATAATTCAAAACAAAAGGCTTTAAAATTTTGGCAAAATTCAATTAAAACTCCACATTGTTCAATGTGGATGTTTGGATGAAAAAATGCTACAAGTTTTGAGTTTTGAAACCGTAATATTGTAACAGTTATAAAATAATTAGATGAAATATCAACCTGAAAATCGATAAGTACTCGTATAAGTGTAGATATTTTCGTACAAGTTTTTTCATTAAAAAACCTTAAATTAAGTCAACTTGTTTTTTTTTGGTTGCAACACAAAGTAGATTCTTTTCAATCAAAAAGTCATTTTTAATCATTTTTATTATAAAAATTACTGTTAAGATAAAATTTCTTATTTTAAAAATAATTTAATTCTTTCGATAATCAACGATTCATAAAATAAATCTATATTACTTAACTTACTTGAACCATGGAACACATAAGTGTTTTTAAATTTCCATGCTTACCCGTGGTCTCTTGACACTTGATCAAATTGTATAAATCATAAATGCATAATAAACATATACCCATTAGTACATAGGGGATCAATTTGTCAATTATAAAAAACACTAAAGTGAGGAATATAAATTCAATATAAAATCCAAAAAACTTGGTTTGCACCAACAGAAAAAGAAGTGACATTTTTTATTGAACCGTAAAAACAAGCAAAATCATCATAACAAACTCAGAATTTACACAAGAGGAAAGTGTTGGACAGTTGTGTCTTTCTGCATACACTGCAGGCTGAAAACAAACCCATGGATTCAACAAATGAGGTCCCGAAACCCATGATCTAACACAAAGCAGAGCTATCAACTCCTTCAACCATCATCACTTTTGATTTTCAGTTTTGCTTTGTGCTTCACCTTTGATTTCGATTTGGCTTTGCGTTTTGGTTTCAGTTACGTTTTGGCATTCGGGTTTTGTTGCAGGATTATGGTTAGGCTTCACTACGATGCAGGTGATGTTATCACAGCTTCCACGGGTAAAAGCGGTCTCAGTCAACTTTTTAGCTGCTGCCTCTGGTTCGTCTTCAGTCTGTGCAATTGAGACAGCATCCTGATAAAAGAGACCCGCAAATTTCACAATCAGATGAATCTAAAAGCGAAGCTTGGGTACATAACATACATCAAAAGCCACCGTTAAGAATGGGTTTTTAAGTTTGATGAATAAAAGAACCCAGATAAGTTAAAGTCCGAATGAAATGGGCACGTGGTTGATCTTGATACCAATAACATACCTCATTGGGTACAACGTCCCAGAGACCATCACTTGCAAGAACAAGCAATTCAAATGCTTCATCGAGCTCTTGTTCCTGGAATATGGCAGTGCAAAACAAACTTTTTCATAAAACATGACATGCTTGAAGAAGATATTTGCCAGTGGGAAGAGCAAATAAGCATAATGGGTCCCAAGAAATGTCAAGATTTGTGCCTAAGTTGATTCATTAAGGGTCACTAATTGTTAATAGTTTATTCCAACATTCACCAAAAGACCAGATGTAAGTCTCCCGTCTACATTTGCCTGCATTCAATCTATAATAATTTCTTTTACCGAACTCTGATTATCTGATTCAAAGAAGGAGGATCATCAAAGAAGTAAAGTGTGCATCTTTCTTCCAGACCTCACCAAAGAAAGAACAAATAATAAAAGAAGCATGCACAAGATATGTGCAATTATAAACAAAATGGGAATGAAGTTGAGAATATGACACCGATAAAGAAACATACTTTTAACCTTGCTTCTACAGATGGGGTTTCTCTTAATATATTGCGTTCATTAATATGTATCACGAAAAAACAAACCCTTAATCTAGTCATAAAGAACACTTATACATTAGCACATAAATGCGTAAAAGTATAACATGATTAGCTGAGTAGCTGACTACCTGGATTTCAGGTTCTGCCACAACAAATTGCTTCAGCATACGGTTTCCAAAAGCACGGGACATTGCTAAAACACCTCCAACCCTCCAGGTGCCTGGAAAAAACATACAAGTGAAAGTGAATGCTTGAGATAGAAGTCCGCATGTCTTAAACAAACTTAAGACGTTGCTATAAACTTGATCATCTCTTTTGGACAAAATATTATGGCAAGAGAAGACATAGCAGGACCTCATATGAGGAAACAAGTATCTCTAGATTCATGTGAATATTTGTTGCTCTTTGGTTCTCTCCATTATTCCCCAGTGATAAGAAGTCGAGAAAGGATGGATCATTTAAATGATACATATGGAATGGAGAAAAGGGGAAGGTTTAAACCTATGAGCCAAATATAAAAAATCCATAGACCAGGATGAAAATACAATACAGAAAAATTATACAATACTTCAAACTATGACTGTGAAAATGTGCTAATGAGAAAAAAAAGATCTCATTTGTCCTTAGTTTACTCTCTGCAAGTGACCCATCTCATATTCCTGCAGTGCTCAAAACAGCAACATAATCTTACCTGCCCACATCACAACCCCGCCAGCACTTTCAATTCTCATCCGCTCGTCACTTCTGTTTGGTTTGTGATCATCAGAGAGAGGGAGAGCTGTCAGAAAGAAACATTAATATACATAACTAACATCGGTGGAATACTGATAATTGTACTGGTTAATTGGTATTTAAACATGTAAGAACATCAGCCAAATGAAAGAAAAATGAACTTCCACGTCATGTGAGCATTCAATTTTTAATTGTTTGAGCTAAATTAGACAAAAAAAAAAAAAAATCAATTTGGGATAAAGCATGCACAACGTCAAGGGGGAGCAACAAAAAGTAACATGCTCAATTAAAAAAAACCAAATCCTTCACGAATTTTCTCTGGAAGATAGAAGATAAATGATACTCCTGGTCCTGGGTACCATATTAAGTATATAGAAGCGGAATCAATAAAAAAAAGTTGATGTTACACATCCCCAACAATTTATCTAAAAACACTGCAAATTTTTCTTTACTTATAATCCCTTTATGCTTTGGAGAAAGATGCTGCTTATTTACAAACAACCATCTATTACTCGAGGTGGTAATGGGTGAAGTAGGAATGCTTGCACACAAAGAAATAAACCCAAACAACCTACATATTCGTCAAAGATTAATTTTGTCATAGCTTTTTAGAGATTCCCACGAATAATAACCAACTTCCAAGTGGGATAAAAGGTTCACATAATGGTGGTTTATCTCCATTGCTTGAAAGTCAAAATATTTGGCTGCAATTAACTTATATTTTATCAGGTGCAATATATATATTACATAGTTTTCACACTTTGCCAACTCTAACTTCTGTGAAGTATATTGCGGCAGCCTGCATTGTCTAGAGAACCCTTTGAGGAAATCAAAACATCTAAAGAATTGAAACTTCATCCTTAAGAATCCTATCAGTTTTCTCAAAAGATGAAAATGTTTGATCAGAAATTACCTTTGCCTTCCATTGATATAACAGTCCGTGAATCTCCAACATTAGCAACATACAGGTGGTTACCTACCAACACTGCTGTTGAAGCAGTAGAACCATCATCACGAAAGTTATCTTTTTCAGACTCCAAAAAATCTTTGTCAGTCTGCTGATAAGTTTCACCTGTGAAGTCATTCAAACTTATGGATTAAACTCATCTAAGATAAAAAAGGTTGTCCGGGACATCAAATGGTATTCTCCTAATGACGATATTTTCCCTTTTTTTTATCTATTGCCACCCTTCCAATCCCCCTTCCCAACCAAATGATCAAAGAGACATGGTCACGTCAGGCCTCGGCATTTGAAACAAGAGAGGGAAGTAGTGTATCATGATAGGAACTCACTAATAGCCACTTTTGTATTTGTCATGAACTCCGGATGCTTCATGAGGTTCTTAAACAAATTTTCCTTTAAATACTGAGCTGCGCGTGAACCACCATGACCTACAAACATTAACCATCCTTGAGAAAGAAATGGAAGAGGAAACTAGAGGAACTCAATAGTAAACTGAATGGTCAGAATTACGCTACACTAATTAAAACTCCATCCAACACTGTAAAAAATTTATTTCTAATTTGCAAATTATACTGATTTCGCATACACAGAAATTTCAGCACCTTTAGGCTCACCGACTAAAACTTCTACAAATGATGAAAAATGCCATCATGGTCAAATGAAACTTGTAGCAGCTTAGGGTCCCAAACATCCGCTTACTTCAACAGGAAGTTAAGCTAATATGCATGTAATGTGTTCCCATTAGTCACTAACCTTTGCCTACTTTGAAGTTACTAAAGGTTGGGTAACATCATTGTAAATGCTTCAGAAAAGTTGATTAATAATTCAAGTAATTTAATAAAACAAGTAGAGTTGCATTCATCAAAAATTTATTAAGAGGAATGCTTCATATACATTCCTTTTTTAATGATTAGTAGTAAGTGGCAATTAGAGAGATAAAGTGATACAGTGTAAACTGGTTTGCTCAAGAACTAGATAAGTAAGCCAAACATATCCATCTTCAGTCTGTTCTGTCATGAACAAATGATGGGAAGTTCCTTCAATAAGGACTATGATGTAAAAGCTGCTGAGGAAGAATATTTACCGTCAAATATTCCAAAAAGGCAGACCGTCCGCCCATCAATCTTGCAAGTCTTAATGTCATAGAAATCCTCCATGCTAGGTCTTTTACCTCTGAAACTTGAATAACCACAGCTCAATTGTCCATCTTCACTGCCAATACGAAACCAAGACGTATCAGCAAAAAAGATTGCTATTATAAATGAATTAAGCATACGAACAGACACAACTACATGGTATACAAAGTAGGAGTTGTTGGTTAATAAAGAGTTTTGTAAAAGGCAACAGTAGGGAATGAACATTGCATGAGACTAGTTGACAATTTATCCTTCAAGATTCACAGACTGAAATATACACAGATGCTAAATTGTAAAAGAAAAAAATACATCAGTTTTGTTTGTTCCATTAGTCTGCAGAAAACTTGGACGGAAGTCACAAAACAATAACCATGCATTGCAGAGTAGTGGTGTCGGTAAGTTTGGAGGAAATACACTAGAAGAAACTGAAATACCTTAAGGCAAAACTAGCCAATGTCACTCGTTCTTAAATTATTAAAGTTCCCTTTCCAAACAAAGAAAAATTAACAAACAGCAACCACATCCCCCAATCATCATGTGCAAAGTTTCTTCTAAATTTAACATGATGCACTCGGTTGCTTTGAAGCTCAAATAATTGTAGGCCTATAGGGTGTATGCTCTACAACAGCATTCTTACAGCACGATGGCAAAATGGAAAAAGAAACTGCAAGACAAAAATATCGACAAGACATTATTCACCTCTTCCAACCTCCACTTGCATAGCTACCATCACCATCCCTCTCTGGCATAGCGATCAAATTCCGGCTTCCAGTTGCACCTGCACCCATCATTATTTTCCTAATCGTCGAAAACTTTTGATCAGAGGAAAACGTTACTGTAGGAATAGTCTTCAGACTTATCTTCAAATTTGCAAACTGCACCAACCCTTCCACGGGTTTCCCAATATGCCCAGCTTGCAGAATTACTGTCCTTAGGTAACTGCTGCATATCATCTAAGAGTCCACAAGCTGGCGTGGCCCTGTATGCCAAACTCTTACCTTGAGAAATAAACAAGTTTCCTGGCAACATCATAGAATCCATCATATGTCCAAACAATAACGGACCTGCTGTGTGCATCAACATCCCAAGCAACTAGTATATAGTTAATTTCAATACACTAGCCATGGCATATTTATTACAGATCATGATCAACTTTCAAATGGCAGAGCATACCAATGTGTTGTAAGTGCACTAGGTTTATTTAAAAAATAATGCCACTTGGATAACAGGTTCACAATCTCCACCAAACATTCTACAAATACTTATATCACATTACAACCATCCACCATGCAATAGTAATAGTAATAGCATCGAGAAAACAAAAATTGAAACCTGAGGCTAGAGCTCAAAACTTTATTCCAAAGCTACATTCTCAAAGATTCGGTAAAATTTCAAGTGAAAATTCATATAACTTATCAGGTTCGAGCGGAAGGAAGGTTTGCTTAAGTAGCTAAACTTGCAAAGGAGACAACTTTCACCGCATTGCCAAACATAGAGAATTGGAATCAAGGAGTAACCATAATTTGCAAGGGGACGTAAATACCGACTGCAATATACAAAAATTAATCTTGGAGGTTAAAACATAACCACAGGTGTATTGCGTAGCTACGTTCTCAAAAAATCAATCTCATCAAAAATGGAACATTCAATCATATATAAGATGCTTTTAAAAGCTGAAATCGAACAAATTTGGCGCATTTGTCAGAGAATAATCAACTGGGACCTAAATGTAACCATGATCTTCAAAAAATCCTCCATTTCAATATATTAAATTCAAAACGTAGAAGAAGAATAACATGAAGAGAAACAAAAAAAAGGATCGGAATCTGGAAATCTTACTTTTTGAGATTGATTGGTTCCAGGAAGAACGAAGAGAAGAGAAGAGAAGAGATGAATAAGCAGCAATGTTTGCAAAAAGAAGCAAGGATCGGTGATTACGGAAGAATATCCCAAATCTGTTAAGAAATTTAAAAAAAGTAATTGCACACAAAGACCAATTCCAAAGGGAGAGGCTAACGACACACTTATGTGTTACCAATGAGACTCCTATGTTAGCTTCAATTATCATTGTTTTTTTTTTTTTTAGTTTTTTGTGTTTTTTTATTATTATTACCTTTTGTTTTATTATTGTTTAAAGAAAATTTTAATT